GAGAGCTGAATTTGGTACCACCACCTCCAAACCCAGCGTTTCCAGGTGCAGAACATCCTTCCCTCGCCATCTCCTCCCATTTCCCATAGAAATAAAGCAAGTGGCAGTGTCCCCTTGGGCACAGGGGTGGCACAGGGAGCAGGGACGGGCTATTGGCAACTGCTCAGGTCACCAATGAGCCCAGGGAGGGAGGTGCAGGGCAGAAGCCACTTTGGGGCACGCTGCAGTGAGGCTTTTCCACCAGTGCAATCAGAACTCTCATCAAAAAAAAAACCAAAATAAACCAAACCAAAACCATATCAAATCAAAGAAAAACGAGAGAAAATCAAAGCAGAGAATTTAAAGAATTGTTTAAATTCAATGAAACCAACCGTGTCCTATATGTGATGTTGTCATGGATGGATATTTGCAAGATTATTTACAAAGTTTTATATTTTTTTTTTGAGCAGCAGGTGCACAACATACAGACGGAGACATGGTTTTCGCATTGTATGTTGATTGGATGGCGTGATTCAGCAGGTAGATAAGGAAAATAAGGAACAAAAACAGGAAACAAAAGAGAAAATGAGTAATCAGGACAAGCAAAAAGGAAACTCTGAAAAATTTCACTGGAAAAAAACCGTTGGGCTATCGGGGGAGGTGTTATTTTATGGGAACTCCAGAAATAAAAAATGCTTTGAACCAAAAGAGATTCGGAGATCCTTGAGGTAACACAGACAGGGCAGTTGTTATTTGCATTTCAGTTTGTAATGCAAATTTGGAGACAATTCACAAACACTTCTCAGGATGGCTTTTTATATTTCCAGGCATAGAAATAGATGTCAGTTTGCTAAACACCCACTCAGCCTCCCAAGGCCGACTGTGTCCACAAGGACACCTTCTCCTTAATCCCACCTCTTTTCCCTCATTTCCTGAGGGTAAAAAAACTGACATTCATGCTTTTGCCTGAGGAAATAAAAAAAATAGATATTCCACTACAATCACAAAGTAAATTACATGTGACATGACCAGGAAAATTAAAACAAAGCAATTAATCCACACATTTCTTTTCCTTTTGTCTTTACTTCTCAGAGGGTTAAAGGTACCAAACAAGGCTGGTGGAAGCCAAGTCTCTCAAGGTGAGGCCACCCAGGATTATTTACCTTTGGAGAACACTTCTAGCTGGAAAATATGGAGGAAAACAGTGCTGTGGCAACAATTTGTGAGCCTGAGCTCAGTGTCACACCTAGGAAACATCTCCATGGGAACCTGGAGGGTGCTGGGACAGGGACAGCTGCAGGCTGGCAGTCAGGGTCACCTTGTGGCTGTCACCTGGACGTCCCAGCTGAGGAAACTCCCTGGGAATGGCTGCCAGGAGGGTTGGAGGGGCTGAAGGGGCTGCCCCAAGCTCTGCCCAGCTGAGCAGGGGAGGCTGGAGCTGAGGAAGGCACATGGAGAAAGGGCCATTCCCTGCTGAGGACACAGCTGTGGGACTGATCCAAGAGCTCTTCTCCTCTCTGCTCTTTCCCTGCTCCAGGAGAGTGCCCTGAGGTGAGGAAGATGAGGTGGGCTTGGTTCAGCAGCAGCTGAGTGGATGCTCATCCCCAGCCTTAATTTCCTGCTCTGCCTTACGTGGAATTGCAAAGGGAAAGAGGCTGGGCAGAGGCCACACTTGGGCTGGGCTCTGTGAGAGAGGCACCTCCTGCTCCTCACCTCCATCCCTGCACGTTCACATCTCTGTATCAGCTCTTTCAACCCTTTTTTCCTTCATTTTTCTAAACTTGGTTCTATTTTGGAACTATTGGTACAAAATTGGATCAGACTGGTTCTGTTGGTTCATTTTTCTACATTGGTTCTTGTGGCAGCAGCTCTCTGGCCACAGAGAGAAACACAACTTTCCCAGGCCTTTCTGGGGAAGGCTGTGAGAAGATCAGAGAAAAGAATGAGAAACAATTCTAATCTTCACTTGCTGCACCTGTTGTTGTGCACATGTGGAATGTGTTATGGAGATTTGTTTACCAAAGGGTGGTTTCTTAATTGGCCACTGGTGATGGTGTTTGGATTGGAGGAGCAATTGGGTCCACCTGTGTTGTGACTGTTTGTAAGGGTGATGGGTTTCTTAATTAGTATAAAAAAGTGATTGATCAGCCTTCTGAGAATCACAGAGTCAATGCTAATTATTACCCAGCTGGGGGCCTGCAGTGACAGGTTCTCAATACCAGAAGTATTTAAAGCAGGTGAAAATGCAGTTCAACAAAATATCCCAAAGCTGGTCACATGGGGCAGGAACAGAGGGCTGCATCCTTCTGCTGCTTTTCTGTCCTCAGGACTGGAAGGGGAGAACCATAAAATCTTGGAATGGTTTGGGTTGGAAGGGACATTAAAGCCCCATCTTCTTCCCCCACCTGCCATGGGCAGGGACCTTCCACTGTCCCAGGTTGCTCCAAGCCCTGTCCAGCCTGGCCTTGAGGGCAGGGAGGTTTTAGTGGCAGTGGAGAGCCTGGTACAAGACCACATCCACCACATTCCACTGGCTGAAGTGCAGTGAATTCCATTGGGGCATCCTGCCAGCTGCCATTACCAATCCTGTTATCAATCCCATTATCAATCCTATTATCAGTGTGATCTTCAGGGCACCACTGCCAACACCCAGTGCCAGAACAAAGCAGGGGTGTCCAGGCCTGGCCATCAGTGTCCCCTGCAAGCAAGCTGAGCTGCTCAGGGCACTGTGTAGATCCCTCTGATCCCTGTGGGAGGCTGGCATGGATGTGTGTGGCTTAGGGAAGTGTGTGCTGGTGGCTGTCCCCTGGAGATGGAGAGCTGCTGGAGAGAGATCAGGCAGGAGCTGCATCAAAGAAGTGCTGAAAACCAAGTTTAGAAGGAAAAGTGGCAGGGAATGACGACCCATGGGCTATCTCTGTCTGAATGGAAAAGCAGAGAAGGAGATCTGGTGGCTACACAGAAATCAGGGAATTGTTCACATTGGAAAAGAGCTCTGAAATCATTGAGATTCCCCCAGCACTGCCAAGGCCACCATTAAACAGTGTCCCCAAGTGCCACATGCACACAGCTTTCAAATCCCTCCAGGGATGGGGACTCCACCTGTTCCAGTGCCTGACCACCCCTTCCATGAAGCAATTATTCCTAATATCCACCCTGAACTTCCTCTGGAGCTACCTGAGGCTGTTTCCCCTTGCTGCTTTTTACTTGGGAGAAGAGATCAACCCCTCCTGGGTGCTGCAGAAGGGAGAGAATTTAGAGAGAGCAGAGACATAAAGGACTGAGAGCTCAGGGCTGCAGTGGTCCTGGGGACATCTGGCTTTTATATGAGAGATATTCATGATCAGCTCCATGTTGGATACTGCCAAGGGAATCTGGTGACTTCCTTCAGAAAATCCTCTTTTAGTACTGAATGGATCCAGTTGCTCATAAACCAAAAAACCTCTTCTTTCCCACCCGGGAGGAGAAGGGAAAGGCACATGGGCCCCTGGGAGCTTAGCCCTGTTGGAGTTTTAGGGGTAATTCCCACAACTCTGTAAAGGTTTTGATGCTGAAATGTCTCAGAGCCCAGCCTGATCCAGTTCCCTGGCTGGGCTGTGCTGTGGGAGCTGGAGGGAGAGGCAATGTCCCCTGAACTGAGCAGGGAAGGGCAACACTGTGGCTGCTCCTTGCCTGTGAAATAGCTCCAAAAATGAGGATTTTAGCAGCATGTGGGCTTGGTGTCGAGAAGTAGAAACCTTCCTGAAGGAGAAGACACCAGTCTGGGAGCAACCAGAGGCTCCCTTACCCTGTGTGAGCTGTCAGTGCTGCTTCCTCCCAGGAAACGTGGCCAAAGTGGGGCAGGAAAAGCTTCAGTCTGTTTGTGGCTGACTTGCAAATATTTTCACAAATTTTCAAACCATGGCAAAAGTTTGGGTGCCCCTTGGCAAGAAAACACATCCCATGGCAGAGGGAGTGGGGACAAGCACCCTGTGCCTTCCCACAGCACTCAGAGAGGGTGAGGTGAGAAACTTCAGCCTGGCTGCACTGAAAACAAAATCCAAAGCCTACAACATAGGATTCACCAGCAGATAAATGAACATCATTTGTATGGGGAAGAAAACCTGGGGGGTTGTGCATTATTTTGTACCAAGGAGGTTAAATAAAAATGCATTTTGTTAGAAACAGTCACATGGTCTTCACCACCACCTGTAAAGGAATGTGAGGAGCACAGTTCTGAGCACACACAAAACAGATCTACAGGCAAACCCCTGGGACTGAGGAAAAAAGTTATGGTCAAGTTCAAATTCATCACACTCTGATACATCATCAGCTACAGCATGCACTGGGAGAGGAGAGGAGCAATTTATACATCAGGTAATATCAGACTGTCAGGGATTGAGACAGACATTGGCTGCCCTTAAGGAAAAATCCTTCAGAATTTAATGATGAGTCTGGGCACTTTGTGAGATGTACAAGGCTTGTTAGCAGGGAGACAGCAGCCCTTGTAGGACTGGCCAGAAATCCTATGTGAAAGCTGTTTGTTTATTCATTGCCCTACAGAGCTTTTGTGACAAGAACATTCCCCCAGTCCAGACTCTTCACCTCTTCCTTTCCCTGTGTCCCTGTCACTTCCCTTCACCCTCACCCTGCCCTGTGACCCACACTGGGCAGGAACCCCAAGGGCCAGACACATGCCCTGCAAAAAACCTCCCACATTAACACAGCAGAATCCCTTTGGTCTTTTCCCTCTCTAAATTCAGCAGGATTTTTCCATGAACAGGCAGAAAAGGCCTGGGGATGGAGTAGTTTGCTGCAGGAGAGAGGGAGCTGCTTCCTGGCAGAGTCACGAGCACTGTGCTTCTCATGAGAGCCTTCCCTCTTTGGGGCAGACAGCTGTGCTCAGCTGAGCTCATGGAACAGGGTCAGCCAAGGCCATCATGACTCCCAGAGGCAGCTCCAGGGAATAAGGCTGGTAGGGAGAAGGTTCAGTGTCTTGACAGGGCACAGCTTTGTTTATAAATGAAATAAATTGAGCAAACTGTACTTACCGCAATCTCTGTTACTAAAATATCAGTAATACTTCCCAACACTGTTACAAAATCAAAGACATTCCAGGCATCTCGGAAATAATTCTGCCAAATGAGAACACAAGGGAAATAGAGGGATCCAGGGGTTATTATTTTTTTGCCAGCACAGGTCAGGGATTTTTTTGTTTGTTTTTAAATGTGCATCACGAAATGTGAACATTTCAAGAGGGCAAAGAGGTGGAAGGGAAGAAGGAGGGCACCTACCAGCACACCAAAGGCAATGATCTTCAGCACACATTCCATGGAAAACATGGATGTAAACACAATATTCAGGCATTTCAGCATTTCTTCGTATGCTTCTGGAGCATCATAGAACTAAAGCAGGATGGAAGAAGGGCTGTTACTGGAAGATCACTGACAAGAGTAAAACCTTGCCCAGCTGATTCCTGCTCATTTTAGTCAGGATTCTGTGCTCACTTTGAGCAGGATTTGGGGTTACAACACAATTATTCCTGTCTCTCTTGCTCCATCCTGTACTGAGGGGGCAGCTGGAATATCCCCAGCAGTGGAGACTGTTGCTGAGGGACATCCCCCTATGAGCACACATGGACCAGGAGGGAGGAAGGGCATTTTCCAACCCAGAGGACAAGTGCAGAACTGTTTCTTCCACTAATATGGGGCCTCCTTGATTGTGAAGATACTCTAAGACAGGCAAGGGATAGGAGGGGACCTCATCTACCTGTGTCTCTTCCCCCACTCTGGATCACATCCCAGGAGCCTGATGCTGTTCCAAAATTGAGTAATTTCACAGAATAATAGAATGTCTTGGGTTGGAAGGGACCTTAAACATCATCCAGTGCCACCCCTGCCATGGCAGGGACACCTCCCACTGTCCCAGGTGCTCCCAGCCCTGTCCAGCCTGGCCTTGGGCACTGCCAGGGATCCAGGGACAGCCCCAGCTGCTCTGGGCACCCTGTGCCAGGGCCTGCCCACCCTCCCAAGGGAGAATTCCTTCCCAATATCCCATCTAAACCTACTCTGTTTCAGTTTGAATTCCCATGGCCTGACTGGACTTTGAGCAGCCCCAAGACCCTGCTCTGCAGGAGAAAGCTCAGGCTGGGCTGGAGATCAGGACCTGCAGATCCCAGTTCCCATCCCATGGTCACACACTCAAAGGGGCTGAGCCCAACCACCACTCTGCAGGAAACCCCATGGTGGGATCTCATCCCAGCTACTCCACCTCCCTCAGGGGCCAAAGGAATCCCACCAGGCACACAGGGAGTGGTGGCTGCTCTGCTGAGCCCCCCCAGCTTTCAAGGTGAGAGTCTCTCCAGCCAACAGCCCAAAATTCCAAGATTCAGGGAGATCCCACTCACCTTCATCATGAGGACAATGGTGTTGAGAGCAATCATGACCATGATAAAGTACTCAAAGGGAGGGGACACCACGAATTTCCACATCTTGTACTGGAAGGATTGCTTGTTCTGAGGCATGTAGCGGGTCAGGGGCTTGGCACTTATGGCAAAGTCTATGCAGGCCCTCTACAAAACAAAAAGGGGATGAAAAGGTGCCACAAAAAGGGCTGGAAGTCTTTATCCATCAGGATATGGCTGGGAGAGTGAGCAGAGCATTAACACCAAGTGAGTACTGGCTGTTCCTGTAAAATGCAGCAGAGGATCCCCAAATCCTCATCCATTCTCCTGGAATATTTACCCTATAACTTTCCTATGTCTCCTGCAGTCCTACCACATTCCATTAGAGCCCAGCTTCTCCTAGGTCCTGATCCCTTCACACTTCCAAAAACATTTCCAATTCCTCCTGATGGGTGATTATAGGAACCAGAGGATTGTTATAAAGATGTTATTTGTGGTTTTTAAAAAGTATTGTGGAACTTGGGTGTGTCCTCACACACAGCAACACACGAAGAGCTCAGAATGTTTCATAAAATGAGAACTGAATTTACCAATAAATTACCCACCAAAAGCACTTGGGGGAACTCTCAGAGATCCCCTTCACTGGCTATTTCTGTTCACTTTATTATGAATATAAAACTGTGATAAAAATTGCTTTCTACAAGAGGTTTTGATTCTGGAGCGTTTTCTCAACTTGAATTTACATAAAAATTGCAAGTCTGAAATCACTTTCTGTTCAGTTGGAAAATAACATGGGTAAAGCTCTCTAAACATTCTGCTTTATTTTGGACTTTTTGTTCATTTAGACAAACAAGGAACTAATTAAAAATCACTTAAAAATTCATCTCTTTTCATCAAAAATCAGGCTCCAATTTCAAAATATATGAAAAGAGATGGTTCTTCCCAAAAGAGGTCATTGAGGCTGTGGGACCCTGGAGGAAGGATGCTGCAGATGCTAAAAATCTGCATGGATTGCAAAGGAAACTGGATACACCCATGGCAGGAAGATACACAGATGCCAGTAACTAAAGAAAAACCAGCTCAGGAGGTCCCTGAGTGGAAAACAATGGTATTTTGGGGGGTTTTAAAGAAAAGCCTCACAGCTTCTTCTGCCCTGGTCTTACACTCTTCTCAAGGCATCTCCTTTTGGGCTGTTGCCAGGAGGAAAAATCCCAGCCAGGCACAAAAATTAACCTGGAGAGAAGAGTTTTCACAGTAGTTGAACCTCAGTTTGGTTTCTGAGGTCTGCCCTCAAGGTTTGCCTCCTTCTACCCCTCCACACTTGAGCAAACATAAAATCATGGAATGGTTTGGGCTGGAAAGGACCTTAAGGCCCATCCACTGCCATCCCTGCCATGGCAGGGACACCTTCCACTGTCCCAGGCTGCTCCAAGCCCCATCCAGCCGGGCCTTGGGCACTGCCAGGGATGGGACAGCTTCTGCCAGGGCCTCCCCATCCTCACTGTGGTGTGGTCCAGGGGGATGTGTGACAGTGGTTCCCAACAGGAAGCACTTGGGGGCTCTCCCTGGGGTTTTTTTTATGCAGAAGCTGAAACAGCCACTCATTTCTTTGGTCTCTACACCACACACCCTCCAATAACCACTGCTCTCCAATCCCCCAGCACAAGGGGAACAGGGGGTGGACTTCCACCAGCACCCAGGGGCTCTGAAGCCCCTGGAACACCAACTCTGGAGTCACAAGAGGTGGGTACCTCGTTTTTCTCGAGGCTGCACTCTGACATCACTTTATCTCCTTGCTCCTGGAAGGTGATGATGATTAACGCCACAAAGATGTTGACAAAGAAAAAAGGGAAGACAACAAAATACACCACGTAAAAGATGGACATTTCCATCCTGTAGCCAGGGCTGGGCCCCTGTTCCTCGTAGGTGGCATCCACCGAGTGCTTCAGCACACTGCAAGCAAATGCAAAGAGAGAGGAAAGGTCAACACAATCCCTGGGAAGCACCAAGGACCCCCTGAGAATCACTCCCTGGCCTTCACTCACGTGCAGGGTTTTCCACATATGCTCAGGAAAAGCTTGCTCCCACCCACGAGGCTGGGAAGAAGTTTTCCTTGAGGATATTTTTAGGGAAACCCTTTGTTCTCACCATTCTGCAGAATGGTGGAGATTTGCTGTGCCCAGATCCACTGATCCCCCCTGACCTCCCAAAGGGGAAAGGATCCAGCTGGATCTGGCTTCTCTTCTCTGGTCAACAGGGATGGAGTAAGAGTCGGAAAAGAGAGGTGTTGATGACATCCAAATAGGGGAACACAGTGAGGGACTGGAAAAGGGAGGCTGATGCTGTTTTAGTCTTTATTTTATGAAAGAGTTGAACGTGGAGGCGGGGAAGCCCTGGCCACACACTGCACTCCACGTGTCCCAAAATAAAGTCATGTGCTGAACAGGAAATGTCATTTGGGGCCTCTCACACCCAGCAGACTTTCAGCAGAGCTCACAGCACTTTTCCCCCTTCATTTTCTGCCATTTCCATTATCAGTTTTACCCCTGACAAAGATGTGTGAGTCCAAAAGCCTGAAGCAAGAACTGAAAACTTTCTGAGAAAATGCAGAGCTCTGCCTGCTGGTTCACCCAATAATCACACAAAACTTAACTGATAAAAGACTTTTCTCATTTCTCAGGTCACCTGCTGTCCCTCAGAGCTCTGGGGACCTGCTTTACCTGCACCATCAGCCCCTGCCACTGCCATGTACTCACGTTGGCCACCCTTCCCCTGTGGACACGGTGAAGAGCGTGAGCAGAGCCCAGAGCACGTTGTCATAGTGGAACTCGTATTTTTTCCATTCCCTCGGCTGTGCCTCCACCTCATTTTTTTCATAATCGAGGTACTGACCCCTAGGAAAAAGAGATTTGGAGCCAATGAGAGAATTAAAGCAGATCAGGCATTTCTTAGCACTCAGGAGTGTTGGAAAGCCCCAGCAGCACAGTCTGGACTGTGCTGTGGGTAAAAGACAAAGGGACTCCCTCAAAGTCCATGACAGAAGTTAAAGCCAATTTTTGAGCCAGTTCTAGCCATGGGAACTGGACCTGAGGTCTGAAAATGAAAGAGATTTTAATCAGGGCATTTATTCATTCATTAGACAAAGCCAGCCATTAACACCATGCCTGCCTCTCAACTGTCTGACCCCACAGGAAACTTCTGCTTGATGGGGAAACATCTCTGCCTCCTACTCGAGGGTTGGATCTAATTCCTAAATGTATCCCACTCTGAGGGGCCTGGCATGTGGAGAACCCTCTCCAATCTACCCTAGTCTGTAATTTCACATCCCTTTCTGTAATTTAGCTGCATTTTTCTAAGGAAGAACTGTACTGACAGCCCCTGGGACCCCACCAGGGACGAGCCCTGCAGGTGCCAGGCAGCAGGAGAAGGATGGGCAGAGCAGGACAGTGCTGAGGAGGTGCTCTGGGTGCCAAGAAAAAAGCTAATGAGATGCACAACACACCTTGCCAGCCTGCTGGGAAGAACAAAGCATGACAGGGCTTTTAAGATATTCACATCCTGTCCCTGTCCTTGCTAATTAGTAGCTCTTTAACGTCCCACGCTTCTGATTATTTATTCAGTGTGTTTTTCTAATTCATAAGAGCTCTAAGAATGGAGGCAACAGGTGGAAAGAGGAGTCACACTATCACAATCCCTTCTCAAACATCACACTCAGCTTTCCCAGAAAGGAAGCTGCCTCCCCTCTATCCTGAAGATCAGAGGCAGGAATGACAGAGCTGCTAAAGAAAAAGAAGGGGAAATTCACTTCCAGGGTACCTGAGCTGAATCATTGCTCTTATTTACAGGAGACTCTTCCCACTGAGCAAATGCCTGCCTTTGGGCCAGCCTGGGGAGCTGGAGGGAGCTGCTCCCTGCCATTCCCTGCTCCCAGCTGTACCTGCAGTCCTTCTCCAGCTCCTTGGACTCGTCTGTGCAGTAGAAGAAGCGGCCCTTGAAGAGCTGCACGGCGATGACGGCGAAGATGAACATGAAGAGCATGTAAACAATGAGGATGTTGAGGACATTCTTCAGGGAGTTCACCACGCAGTCAAAGACAGCCTGGGGGTGCAGGGGGACAAGGTCAAGGGGTGGGAAGGAAGGAAGAGTTCATCCAAAATCTTGGCACTACCATTTAATCACACTCAGGGAATCACAGAAGGGTTTGGGCTGGAAGGAATCTTGAAGATCATCTCATTCCCACCTCCCACTGTCCCAGGTGCTCCAAGCCCCATCCAGCCTGGCCTTAGACACTTGCAGGGATCCAGGGGCAGCCACCCTGTGCCAGGGCCTGCCCACCCTCACAGGGAACAATTCCTTCCCAATATCCCACCTAAATCTCTCTCATTTGGGACTCATTACCCATCCCACCACCCAAGGATGCTTCAATGGATTTTTGCTTCCCAAACACTTCCCAAAGCTGCGAGAAATAACTCCAGCTTCCTTCATCTCCTGCTTTATCCACAACTTTGGCTGTGCCACTGAATCTTCTGATGCTGCTCATAACATTTATAAAGACAATCACAGCTTGTCAAGACAATATTAGTCCTGAGCAAATATTTCATTATAAAATGAAAATTGCACTGGTTTGGATTTTAATTCCAGTGGTTGGATAAAAACTATTGGAATAATAAGGAAAAAATACCAGAAACAGAACAACCAAATGCTTTGAATAAATATTTTTATAAAGAGCTGTCTGTCAAAATGAGGTGTGACTAATGTAGTCAGCATGTGCACTCCCAAGTTCCCTACAAAGAACTCCTCAAATCCATTTCCTACGTGGGTATGAGGCCCTGATTCATTACAAGTAATTTGCACTTTCATTTTAGACAGAAGTTTGTCATAATACCAGAAATTGAGCAGTCCCTGCCCGAGCACAGGGTTTGTACAATCCTGCTTCTGTTCCTCTGAATGGAAGTGAATCTTTCACAGAATTACTCCTGATGCACCTGTCTTAGCTTGCAAATGTGAGACCTGGCAGGAGGTGTCAATTCTATTGTTATTTTCTGCTAATGGGTCAGCCCTTAAAACCAGGTGGGGCACTTTATCTCTTCCAGGACCCATTCCCCCTCCAGGAGGGAGGGGAGGAATCTGTTGTCCATGGCCACTGAGTGTCCCTGCAGGGCTGATCCAATTCCAGCATCCCATGGGGAGATGCTGCATTGCCCAGGGCAGGAGCCAAGCATTCCTACCTGGATCCAATCTGAGGTTTGGGACACCATACACAGCCTTTCCACTGCATTCCCAGAGGAACAGCTGCCTTTTCCACTGGATTTTCAAAGGAAAACTCCCCCCTTGTGCAGGATCCCTGCTCCAGCAGAGCCACAGCTGGCACTGCAGGAGGGCTGAGCCCCCATGGGATGGGGCTGTGCCACCCCCTGACACACAGGGGGCAGGGACTGCTCTGACTCTGACTTAGTGTTGTTGTTGTTTTGTTGTTGTTTTCAATTACTGCAGTTTAATTTTAATTTTCCTACTAACGAACTATCATTCTTACTCCTATATCTTTACCTGAGAGCCCCTTAATTTCAAAATCATAACAATTTGAAGGGAGGGGGTTTACATTTTCCATTTCAGGGGAGGCTCCTGCCTTCCTTAGCAGATACCTGGCTTTTCAAACCAAGACAGCAACCTAGGAATCCTGATGGAAAGCCCTCTGATCAACCCAGAAATCCTGATGGAAATCCCTGCAATCAACCCAGAAATCCTGATGGAAATCCCTCTGATTGGCCCCAAAATCCTGATGGAAATCCCTCCAATCAACCCAGAGATCCTGATGGAAATCTCTGATCAGCTCTGAAATCCTGATGGAAATCCCTCTGATCAACCCAGAAATCCTGATGGAAATCCCTCTGATGGGCCCCAAAATCCTGATGGAAATCCCTGCAATCAACCCAGAGATCCTGATGGAAATCCCTCCAATCAACCCAGAAATTCTGATGGAAATCTCTGATCAGCTCTGAAATCCTGATGGAAATCCCTCTGATGGGCCCCAAAATCCTGATGGAAATCCCTCTGATCGGCCCAGAAATCCTACATGAAATTTCTACATGGTTCCACATTAATGTTCCTTTTTAGATAAATTTAGTGAGCATAAAATAAAATTATTTAAGCATGAATAGTGGGCTCAGACAAAAGCAAATCTACAGAACAGCTGACCCTTATTTTGTGTATTTTGACAGAAATTGTCAAACACATTTTCCCCCTTCCAAATCATTCATTGCTTTTTCCCCAGCTCTCACAGAAAACAGCCCACAAAAGGTATTGAAGAATCCCTAAACCTCAGAAATTATTGAGTTTTGTTAACTCCTTCCATTCTCTCTTTGCAGGGCCTGGCTGTTCCTCAAATTGTTGGTGCTGGATGAGTAATCCCAGGCAATTAAATTTATTTTATTTTTTAGATCAGTGCTCTAGGGATAAACGCCTGAACTATGGATTCTTTAATAGAAAGATGAATAAATTAAAGCTTCTCCTATAGCAATGACAAATCTCTTTGGACAGCCTGTGGAAAACCTTGCAATATTCATGTTAAATTCTCTAGGGAAAGCCAAACCCTTCCAACCCCATTTTCTCCTTTATCACATTGAAGACCATCCCACTTATGAGCTGTAATTTAATTTATTTGCATTCTTTTTTTTCTATTTGTAGAGGTATTATTTTCATGTGGATTCACAAAAATCCCCAACATTATCCACGATGTCGTCAAAAGCACCCAAGTGCTTGACATTTGCTCCACATCTGCCCAGCTCTTTGTGCTCATCTGGCTAAAATATTCATTGCAATGAAATAAAAGCAACAGAAACAACTTGGATTCCAAGTGGAGTCCACCAACTTCCCCTCAGACCAGCCAGAAACCTCCAGAGAAGGAAAAATATGGGTTATTTTCTAACCTTTAGCTTTGGCAGACGTTTTATGGTCTTCAGAGGCCTGAGCACACGCAGGACCCGCAGGGACTTGATGGTGTTGATGTCCTTGCCTTTGGTTCCTCTGCAAGGGAGAGAAAGGCACAAGAACAACAGAGGGAATTGTTTGCTCCCCAGGCCACTCACTGGGATATTTGTGGGCATCCAGGGTGGCTTTGGTGGTGGAACTGGTTGGGTTTGGGGATGTTTTGATGGGTTTCGTGTCCATCCTCACCAGCGCTGCAGGCAGGATAACCCAACCTCACCTGGGGTGTCTCCAGCAGCACAGAGGAGAAGGCTGGGGTGGACAGGGTCCTGGCAGGGCTCAGCCACATGTGCTGGCCAGGTTTTGTCACCTCCCAGCCACTCACCAGGACCTCGGGCCCTTCCTGCCCCAACTCCACACCTGGACAACGCTCCCAAGCCAGGGCAGCAGCACTGGGACAGGAGGCTCAGCTCCTCCATCCCATTCCCAGCAGGAGAAGGGACAAAGCCACACAAGGCTCTTCCCTCCCAGCTGGATGAGGCCAGGGGTGTTTCTGGATGAGGCCAGGGGTGTTTCTGGATGAGGCAGGGGGTGTTTCTCCGTGCACTTCTCTGGCAGGAACATTGTGCCAAGAGGGTCTGGGAGCCTTCCTGATGAGGGACAGAGCTCTCCTGGGCATCAGAGCCTGTTCCCTCATCCCTGAGTCTCCCGTGGAGGACATGCCACCAATCCCATGCAGGAACATGTAATATGGCAATATATTACATGCCTGGAACAGTGCAGGGGCAACTCCCCACTCAGGCATGCAGGTGCTGTCAGCCCCCCACTTTTGGGGTTTAGGTTTTGTTAAAACCAAGTGCAAGGTCAAGAACATTCCTCTTGTTAACATCAAGAGGGGTTTTAGGGCAAGGACAGAGCCCCTTTCCTCGTGCACTTCCAAAATAGAGAAACACAAGAAGACAACAGGAACATCTTCTTCCAACCCCATGGCAAAACAACGACATTCCCTTTGCTTCATATGGAGTGGAAAATGGGATGGAAATCTGGAACAGAGTTTTATTCATGGCTGGAGATTTGGGTCTGGGACTGTGCTGGGGGAACACAGGTGGGAATGAAGAACGTGTGGGACAGATGCTGACACACCTATTCTGGACATTCCCCTTCTCCAAGAGGGAAATACTGGAAGTACGAGAGGCACAAGAGACCCACGAAGGTTTGGGGAGGACTGCAAAGCTTCCCCCAGCCTGCCCCACATCCTGTGCTGAGGGAGGAGCACCAAGAGTGGAGGAAACCACCCAGTCTTGTGGCTGCTGAGCCTGCTCAGCCCTGGAAAGGGAATTTTTGGAAATCCATCCACTTCCAAAGGATGAAGAACTCCCTGCTAACCCCATACTACTCAATAGTAAGGCTGGACCAGAACCTCCAGCCCAACCCCACAGCCCTGCCTCAGCTCCAGTCCCTTTGTCCCATTCCCAGGCATTGCAGGTGTCTGGAAATGCAGTAAGAGGGACACACAGGAATTTTTGGAGGGCTGTGGGCTGTATCCCAGCATGTGTAACTTGAGGAGAAATTTCCTGTCCATAAGGTTTAGTAGAAGTGGAGGAGAGGGGGAATGGCATGGACAGATCCCTATCTTCTCCCTTTCTCACCCTTCAGGGCTCTTTTAGGGCCATTTTAATCCATCACAGCTGGACCCTGAGCATGACATGGCTCTAAACCCAGGCATTGGATTTACTCCCAGAGCTATAGGACTGATTCAAAGCCACAAAATAACTATTAACTATTAAAAAATATAATTTTTGATTCTCATTAGACATCTTTTATCTGCCCTAGATGAAACAGGCACTGCCAGCAGAGTTTTTTCTGCCTTTCTTGTCAGGTTTTAGCAGAGCTGAAGGTCTGGCCTAGGCTTGGCTTTGCAGATTTGCTTTCAGCTCAGTGTCCCTGCCATGGTCACCTTGGTGTCACCAGAGCCACCAGCTGACCTGCAGCTCCCTGGTGTGACTCTCAGCAGTGCCCTGGCTGCAGAACAGTTTGTTCAGCCTCTTCAGGAGGATGGGAAGGGCAGCAGGGAAGCAAAAGGGGAAAGGGGTCATGGCCAAGGAGATGCCCCAGCAGATCCCACCTGTCCCCAGATCCCACCCCATGCCCTGGGCTGTCCCCTCTGCCAGGCCAGGCCAATCCTGCCCTGCTCCTGGGGACAGCCAGGGGAGGTGGGAGCTGAGGAGGGCAGGGCTGAGGGAGGAGTGAAGGGGACACCCTTTAGGGCCATCTTGGGGCAGCAGGAAGGGAAGGGGTGGGACATGGGGACAGCGACCCAGAGCTCTGCTCCATCCCCACCAGGCACAGCCACACTTCTGCTGGGCCCATCAGCACCTCCAGCTTTCCTAGAGAGAAGAGAAACCTCTGCTTTCCTCGAGAGAAGAACCAAGTGCCAAATGTCCTGGACCCCATCAAAGGCTTTTCTTGGCATCCTTCTCCTCGCTGTGGAGAATCCCCTGGGGCTCCTGGAATGTGGGGACAGAGGACACAGCTCTGCCTCCCACCCTGCCCCTGCCCTAACAGCAAAGCTGCCACTTGCACAGGGTTAAATGCAATGTTTGGAACTTCCTTCTCCACAAATCACCCTTGCAAAAAGCTCCCTGAGCTCTGTTCTCATGGCAGAGACTTTCCCCAATACCAGAGCTTGGATCCCAGCTGGGTCACAGCGCCCACCCTGCAAAGCTCAGCTCTGCTCTCCTGGGCTCACTCAGAACCCCAGAACATTCCCAGGTGTTGCTTTTTCCTGACCCCAGGAGACCCCAATTACCACGCTGCTATTGTGCCAATTAACAACTGCACTAATGAGGCCTCGTGCAAACCTGAACAGAGACATTTCCCTGCTCTGCTCTCCCAGGGCAGGCTCTACACCTGAAGCAAGAATTTCTGTGGGTTTAATATTTCCAGGAAAGTTAAAGAAATATGGGGCAGAGCAAATCCTGGCTCCTGCTTTTCCCTGGAATGGGAGAGGCACGGATGAGTGAGCTCAGAGGTGGAGGGCAGACAGCTCCAGTCACACAGAATTCCTTCTGCCTCAGCAGAGGACACTAAGAAGGGCTGACTGATTTTTTTCCATTCAGGCACTTAAGCAAATAAAGAGCGTGAGCCAATTAAATCTTAATGGGATTTATGCTCTGAGCCATATAGAGAATCCTGAGGAAAAAAAAAAAAATTCCCATTTCTTGTCACAGTAAGGTCCCTGCTATAGGAAAAGCTTTTCCTGGTGCTCTGACCCAGAGTGATGCAAATTGCATTTTAATTAAAAGGATCCTCTGCAACTCTTCTGTCAAATAAAACCCTCAGGGTTGGGTTTGGGTGTTTTTAAAACCCTCTCTGCCAATATTGGGGTTTTTTTCCCTGCTTTCATACAAAGCCAGATGTCCCAGAAAATAAAAGGTCCAGATGGAGCTGGGACTCAGTCAAAAGGTGTATCCAAGCACACATCTGACCTGAATATTCCTCACAACAAAAATAAATTGCCATGGAAGGATGAGGTTTTAATTGACTGCAGAATAACAACTGCAACATTCAGGACAGCTGAATCTTGAATAAGAGCTAAAGAGGAGCATAGGATAAAGGCAGACAGCAAAAAAAGAAAAAAAGGAAAAAAAAAGAGAATACCAAAAAAATTGCATTAGATCATTTTTGGGTGCATTAGGCCAGTGATGTTTTGTTGTTGTTTTCTGTGTCAGTTTGCTGCATGTTTATTTAAAACGTTAAGATTTTTTTAAAAGAGCTTTGCAGCACCTTTTCTCCCTTTAATAAATAAAAGAGCCTTTAAAAATTCAGTGGTTCTTTCAAATGGAAGCTGCTTGTTCCTGTTGCTGCTGCCAGCATCTCTGATTTCAGGTGACATGGACCCCTCAGAGTCAGGGCATCAAAAATTCAGGGTGAGGTGGAGCCTCTGCCTTCTGTGATTGCCTGGAATCCTCCTGGCAGAGTAAATTCTTCCCTGGAAGAGTAAATGAGGTCACCCCACCCTGCCCAAGCACAAAGCCACCCTCTTTCTGCCCTAAATCCTCTGCTTTCCTCGAGAGAAGAAAGAACCAAGTGCCAAATGTCCTGGACCCCATCAAAGGCTTTTCTTGGCATCCTTCTCCTCACTGTGGAGGATCCCCTGGAATGTGGGGACAGAGGACACAGCTCTGCACTGACAGCAAAACTGCCACTTGCACTGGGTTAAATACAATTTTTTGGAACCTCCTTCTTCACAAATCAGCCCTGCAAAAAGCTCCCTGAGCTCTGTTTTCATGGCAGAGACTTTGCCCAATATCAGAGCCTGGATCCCAGCTGGGTCACAGCGCCCACACTGCACTAAATCGGCCCGGGAGCTTCCAGCTTGGCTGTTTGGAGGTGAAATCCTCTCAAAGAGACTCAAAATTCTTCTTTAAACCTGGTTATTAAGATTTTCATTAATTGTACCTCACCCCTCAGTGCCCACTGAGTCAGCCCATCAAATCTTTTTGGTACAGAGATATCTCCATGTGGGTTTTTGTTTTGACTCTCTGTCTTGGATTTCTAATCTGTTCCTATCTCTGCTGAAGGAAAATCAGGATGGATGAGATAAAATAATACATTTCACTGGATAATGAGCAGTAAAGGGACAGAGGGGTCAATGGGATGGGTGGAACATGGCTGGGTTGTCTCCACAGTGGCAAAGTGTGTGGACACGGGTTGGACAGGCAAAACAGAGCAGCAAGAGACAGGAAGAACATATTACCCCATGAAACTCCTAGAGAGAGATTCCAGCGAGGAGAAGACAAAGAAAGAGCAGAGTCAATGACAAACAGAAACATCAGAGAGATCCCCCAGCCCCTGGCCCACTCCCACCAAGCCCACAGGATAAACCAGTGGGAAGGGAGGGCTCTGCACAGAAACCCCACATTTGTCACATTCACATTCTCTGGAAAAATCCCTTCACCCAGGATTCTTCTCCTGGGAAGCTGAGAGGCCTCAGAGAAAAGGAAAACAATTCTGATCTCATTTGCTTCTCCTGTGCTGTGCTCATGTGGAATGTGTTTGGAGATTGTTCACCCACAGGTGATTGTTCCATTGCATTCTGCTGGGAGTTGTTTTCACTCTTTGGCCAATCAGGGCCAAGCTGTGTCAGGGCTCTGGAGAGAGTCAGGAGTTTTCATTATTATCTTTTTAGCATTCTGTAAGAATCCTTGCTGTATTCTTTAGCATAGTATAGTATTCTTTAATGTAATATAGTATCATAAAATAATCAATTAGCCTTGTGAGAACATGGAGTCAAATTCATCATTCCTCCCTGTCCCTGCAAATACAATAAAACATTCCCTGCTGGATCAGCTCTTCCACTGGGAAAAACACCTCCACATCTCTTCTCTCCCACTTTGGGAGTGAAAACCTCAATTATTTGTTTTTTTTCCAAGAGCATCCCAAAATTCTGGGCATTTCTGTTCCAATTTTTTCCAGGCCAAATCTTTCCTTCTCTCCCTCAGCTGTTCCTCCCAAGTACATTCTGCACCTGGGGCTGAGAGAGTTTTTTGTTTGCTTCCATTTCCCTAAGGACTCAAATGTGTCTGGGTGTTTGTGGCATGTTTATCTCCAGAAAAAGAAAGGGATTTCTCTTTGAAATGCTTTGCTGAATGGAAAACATTAGTTTATTATTATCAGCATCATACTGTTGTTTCCAGCATCACTCTGGGGGTGTTGTTTGAAATTGATTTTTTATTTTTCTAACCACAGAGCTGCTTCTAAAGAGCTGCAGGCAGAAAGAAAACCCACAGCTGCTTTGAGAGCTGGATTTTATCAATCTTGTACCAGTGACTGATACCATCTCAAATGCTTAAATTAACACAGGCTGCTGCAATATTGCAGATGGGAGTGTTCCAGGGAGCTCTGCTATTCCCAGGTTTTTAGGGATGGGTTAGTTCAGTGAGAAGTTGGTTCACATCACATTCAGTGGACAGCAAGAGCCAAAAACATGAATTAAATCCCACCCTGCACATGGCAGTTGTGGGTTTTGCAAACAAAGTGGTGACAGCCACATTAAATCCCCTTTTTAGTGACACTAAAGGAGGAGGGTGACAGGATTTGCTGGAAAAACCCAACTGATTGAACAACAAAGAGACTCCAGGAGCTCCTTTTTGGGATTATCAACATTCAGCTGGCTCTGTGTGTCCATCTGGTTTAACCAAACCAGGAGCTGGGCCTAAACCCTGGCTCTCTACCCTGTCAGGACTCAGAACTGGAACAGGCAAAAGTCATTTCCTAGGAATGACTGATTTTCCAGCTTTTGGGCTGCAGTAGAGAGGCTGCAGGCATTCCCTGGATTGGATGTTGCCTACTGGAAAAGGGATGAGGAGCAGGGCTTACAGAAAGCAGAAAAATCACAGAAGAAATTCAAATTTTCCCGAGTCTCACAAATAAGCTTGTCTGACTTTAATCTGGGAGACAGTAACTAGGCAGGGTTTATGCAGTCCCTGCTGTAAAACCCTGCTCAAGACTCACTCACAGTGGAAAATAAAAGCAGCTTGGGGCGCCTATTATAAAGCACAGGCAGGGGATGTAGAAGTAATTTATTTGGAGGTTGCTGAGGTGCTGTTAGATATTCATGGCCCAACATCAGCAACAGAAGAAAACCTGAGCATGAAAAGCCTCGGAAAGATTAAAAATTATTCATTTTAATCCATAACTCAAGCAAGGAAAATCTCCCTCCAAAGAAGATGGTGTTCAAAGAGAAGGTGTTTTAAAGGCAGAGCCTGAGGTTTGCTCTCACAGCACAGGGAGCTGCTCTGAAGGGCTCCCAAAATGCTCCTTCTCCCATCAGCCTTGAAGTTGGAATTCCTGATGGAAAAGGGAAATTCTCATGGAACCCCAGACTCTGGGTTGTGCTGTTTTATGTGATTATTTTACTTCTCTACCTCTCTTCAACTCAGAGGAGCTTTGTTAAATTCTAATGTTGCTACATGGCTTTTTAAAGTTAAATTTTTGATTAACTCGGTCTGGGTTAAGTCAGTCTAGTTGTGAAAGATGTTCCACAGATATATTTCATGTGCAGGGAAATAAAACCCCACACATGTCCAGTCAAGCTTAAAAAGCAGCTTGGTTTTGGATATTAAATTTTAGGTGAGCAGGACATTCACCAAGATAATTTTGCTTAGGACAGAGAAGTCAGCTCCTCAAAAAATCAGATTTTAATGAGGGACAAAATGTTTAAAGAGAGGAGGGCAGCACCCCTTTGAAAACATTATGTCAGATATGATTTTCTCCAAGAACTGACTAATTTAGTGAAGGATCAGGCACAGCCCAGCTTTCAATATCCCCAAAAATCACACCTAAAATATCAATCCTGTGCATCCGTTTTTTGGTCAATTTAACTTAGAGGGTTTATTTGCATTTGTGTTTATTTGTATTTGCACTGAAGAAAAGCAGATCTAAACCACCAATCTCACAGCCTGGATGCGACAGCAATTGTGACAGCTCAGAAAACAAAAACTTGCTGAGGAGTATTTTACCAGAAAGGCAACATTTTGTGCATTATTTTGTGCAGAGCTGAGAGAGGAGCGGAGATTTGGCTCTGCTTTAAAAATTTCTGCCAGTCTAAAGCAGCCCAGGCACGCTCCGTGGCTCCCTGACAAAGGTGGATGCTTTTCTCATTAGCTGCTAATTCTCTTTAGCAAGTGAAACAATTTCCTCTCCTCTAATCATCGTGTCACAAACCGGGCAGTGCGGGGCTGCTGCACATTCCCCTAATTGCTCGGGGCTAATTTAGCAGAAGATTAAACTGGTCAAGTCCCGCTGCCTGCTTCCAGGTCTCTCCCATTGTTTCTCAGCAAAGGATTTGCAAACAACAATCCGAGTGGAAAATTTCCTCCCATTCTCCAGCTCGGCTCCTGAAGGATGGAAGGAGCTGCATTGCTCTTCCTCTGGTTGTTTCCAAGGAAAAAGGCTTGGATGAGAAGTTAATCTTATTTTTTAAGGAGTTATTTCTCTGTGTTTGTTGCTCAGAACCCTCCATGATATGAAAGAAGAACGTGGGGTGTTATTTAAAGGCAAAAACACAGAGCTGGGTTTGAGGGAGGGAGTGAAACTCAGTGGAAGTACAGAGAGAGGAGAGAGAAAAGGAGAGAAAAGCAAAGGTTTGTGAGCCAGAATAAATATCCACAACTCTGGAAAAAAGGGTTTGCCAAGAGTTCCCAGAGTTATCAGCTGATTTCTTAAACTGTTTTCTCAAAACACTTCAAGATTCTCACAATCACTGACTGGAGACACTGGACTGCCACAAAGTGTTACAGTGAGTTCCTGAAAAGAACTGGCCAAAGAATCACAAAAATCTTGGCTTGGTGTTTGAATGAGCAGTGAATGGACTCAGGCTGAAGCTGGGAGGATTTTCTCCAGATTCCACAACACAAATTTAGCTGGGTTTATTCTTTTCTTCCCACCCTCTGGAAAAAGAGCAGGAACTGAACATTTCACTGAGAAATGGAGCCACAAACATCACACAGCCACTGTCCCTGTGCCACCTCCTGCCCCCTCTGTCACTTATCCCTGAAATTTGGGAATTTGGAGGAAAATGAACTTACGAGAAGGCAAAAGCCACCAGGGCCCCACTGACCACAATGAAGTCCAGGATGTTCCACAGGTCACGGAAGTAGGAGCCAGGGTGGAGCAGCAGCCCCAAGTCAATCATCTGCAGAGAAAACCCAGCAAAGGAAGAGCTTTAATAAAACATGGCCCAAATTCACCCTGCCAAGGGGCAGGAGAAGGTTCTGGATCAAAGCACCCTTCACAAATTGCTGAGATACTCAGCCAAGCTGCTCCTCTGTAACAGGCAGGAAAACTCGCCCAAAAATGAAGCTCAAATTAACAAACCACCACCAAAAGCTGTATAAATGAGAGCTCTCACTGCTCCCCAGGATTTTTTCCACACACATGCATTAATCCTGTTTTATTCTGCATCTCTTTTGCATATTGCTCTGACAGGAAAACCCAGCTCTTGCCTTACCCCAGCACTGAACCCTGGTTTTATGGAATTGTGCTCTCTGGGAAGTTACTGCCCACAGTCCTGGCAAAACCTGTCACCCTACTGAGCAAAAAGATAAATTCTCAGCTTTTTGAAACATGACAAACCAAGAATCAGTTGTTATTAATATTCCTTCCAAAGGGAAGAATCAGGAGTGTCTCATCAAGGTCTGTCAGCTCCTGGTTCTTCCTAGTTCTTATCCTCAAGATATCCTGATTTTCCTCCATAAAATATGAGATTGCTGCCAGGAGAGCTGCTGCATCTGACTGTGAGAGCTGTTCCCAACTTCAAGCTCTCCATCCTCCCCACTTCTGTCCTGCTCCAGCTTCTCACAAATAAATCTGAAAGAGGAGGTGAATCTTCCTGCTTGGAGAAGTTCTTACCTTGATCACCATCTCAAAGGTGAAGACTCCTGTAAATATATAATCCAGGTATTTCAGAGCCTAAGTGGGAAGGGAAAATGTGTGTTAGGGAAGGCCACAACTGAAATAACCTGCACATGAGCAAGGAGTAAAATATCTAATCCAACAATGGTCTGTCTGATAGACAAAAATCATCTGGTGGGAGGGTTGCAGATAATTTAGGCACAAACCTGAATAATCTGATTTAAAGCAGCATTTTCCCAGACCTTGCCATACTGCACCCAAGGCTGGCTACAGTGCACCTGCATTTCTGGCAGGTTTACCAAGGCAAAGGGGGTATTTCCAAATGAAATGTTTGAACATCCTTTCCTAAGGATGTTCAAGGTCCTTAGGATCCAGCCTTTCCCAGTGTGGAATGGGGTGCCAGCCACACAAGCCCTGATTTCCAAGTTCTCATGCTCAGATGTGGCTGAAGCAGCAGAAAGGGACAGGAATTTGAGAATTTTGACAGTGAAACAAAGATAATTGGAGTGTGTCCCCAAAGGCAGCTCTAATTCTGCATGGCTAGCACCTGCGGAGATGGGAAAAGCTGGGAGCTGGGAGGAGAAAAGCACCTGAATTCTGGGAATTTTGGGAGGAGAAAAAGCACCTGAATTCTGGGAATTTTGGGAGGAGAAAAAGCACCTGAATTCTGGGAATTTTGGGAGGAGGAAAGCACCTGAATGCTGGGAATTTTGGGAGGAGGAAAGTACCTGAATTCTGGGAATTTTGGAGGAGAGGAGCACCTGGATTCTGGGAATTTTGGGAGGAGAAAAGCACCTGAATTTTGGGCATTTTGGGAGGAGGAAAGCATCTGAATTTTGGGAGGAGGAAGGGACCTGAATTCTGAGAGGAGAACAGTATCCGATTTCTGGGAATTTTGGGAGGAGAACAGCACCTGGATTCTGGGCACCTTGAGAGGAGAAAAGCACCTGAATTCTGGGCATTTGGGGAGCAGAAAAGCACCTGAACTCTGGGCATTTGGGGAGGAGAAAAGCATCTGGATTCTGGGCATTTTGGAGGAGAGAAGCACCTGAATTCTGGGCATTCTGGGAGGAGAAAAGCACCTGAATTCTGAGCAGAGAACAGCACCTGCATTCTGGGAATTTTGGGAGGAGAAAAGCACCTGGATTCTTGGCACCTTGATAGGAGAAAAGCACCTGAATTCTGAGGATTTTGGGAGGAGAGAAGCACCTGAATTCCTTGAGGAGAAAAGCACCTGAATTCTGGGCATTTTGGGAGGAGAAAAGCACCTGGATTCCGGGAATTTTGGGAGGAGAAAAGCACCTGGATTTCGGGCATTTTGGGAGGAGAAAAGCACCTGGATTCTGGGCATTTTGGGAGGAGGAAAGCACCTGGATTCTGGGCATTTTGGGAGGAGAAAAGCACCTGAATGCTGGGAATTTTGGGAGGAGAGAAGCACCTGGATTCTGGGCATTTTGGGAGGAGAAGAAGCACCTGGATTCCGGGCATTTTGGGAGGAGAAAAAGTACCTGAATGCTGGGAATTTTGGGAGGAGAGAAGCACCTGGATTCTGGGAATTTTGGGAGGAGGAAAGCACCTGAATTCTGGCAATTTTGGGAGGAGAAAAGCACCTGAATTCTGGGCATTTTGGGAGGAGAAAAGCACCTGGATTCCGGGAATTTTGGGAGGAGAACAGCACCTGAATTCTGTGAATTTTGGGAGGAGAAAAGCACCTAGATTTCGGGCATTTTGGGAGGAGAAAAGCACCTGGATTTCGGGCATTTTGGGGGGCACTCACATCGTTCCTGGGAGACTCGGCCTGCACAGGGTCCTCTGCAGCCAGGGCGATGCTGCTGAGGGCGATGACGATCAGGATCACCATCTCGAAGTAGCGCAGGTTGACGATGTAGTGGAACAGGCGGCGGATCCTGCAGGGACACGAGCACACCAGGGGTCACAGAGAGGGGACAATGCCACAAACCCAGCAGGGGCAGCACCTCTGGGACTCCTGCTGTGATAATGGGGAGAGGAATGGTGGATTTGTCTTTCCAAACCAGCTGTTGTCTGCTGGGAGATAAAACCAGCACTGGGAGAGAAAAGAAACAATGGGAAGGATTCCACTGATTGAATGGGAAAAGATATTTGCTTTTACAAATAAACTTTAGGTTTGCTGGTAAATGAAATTAGACATTGAGAGAGGAAAGAAACAATGGGGAAGAAAAACCCCTTAATTCTGTAAGAATTAAAAATGAAAAGGGAGGGTTATACATTAGAGGGGAATCTTTGGTATCAGGCACTCTGGGAAGTCTGAACCTCTCAAGTACCTGAGCCAATGGGGAAAAAGAGAAGGGAAATGTGGCTGGGAAATTGGGATAAAAAGGAGGGGGCATCCTCCAAAAACTGGAGAGACCCCAGGGGAATGCCTCATGGCCTCTCCCTTTATTCAAATAAAGTAAAAGGACTCCTCTGTCTCCTTTTTGGACATAAACCTCTGGTGTTTGTGGATTAATTTTCCTAACAATGGGAAGGAAATTAAAAAACAGGCTTGAAATTCCAGTTTGCAGCAGATCTGTGGTGAGAGATAAACGAGGGAGTTCAATGTCTTTGCACTGATCTCTGCTCCCTCTGCAAGGCAGCAACATCCATTCATCTCCTTATCTCTTTATCTATTTATCTCCCTATCTAGTTATTTCTCTATCTATTTATCTCTCTACCCATCTGTCAAAAGAGCACTGAGAGCTTTCAAGCATCCACACTCAATTCTGCAAATTATGTTTATGGCACTCCCCCGTCCTTCTCCCTCTGAACTGCCAGGTTAACGCCCTGTGAGCTCAAAACAAGGTTTGAAATCCTTTTAGTGTCAACTAATCCCTTTAAAATGTTGACACTCAGCTGAATCTGCCTTTGTGGCTCTGAGTGTTCCTCCCACCAATTTCTCTCTGCCTGCACTTTACTCCAACTCTCACTTTACAGCACAAATACTTTACAGGAATAGATTTGATTACTTCCACCTAATCTTTTTATTCACAAATTGTGTCCGAGGAAAATGGTAAATGCTCCTATTTCTAAGCAATCCAAAAGTCTTCACAAATTGCAGCTAATAATTCCTTCTGACCACAATTCCCAAATCCTTAATTGCACACAGAGCTCTGCATTTGCACCATATTTGTCAGCTGAATAAAGGACTTAGCCCGAGAATCAAATTATAGATTTAACTTGCCAACAACTTTGTTATCTGAGAATGTATTTCAGCCCCTCTATCCCATTTTCTCTAAGCAAATATCTGAGCAGTGAGAATTAAAGTCTATTTTTCACATCTACTTACATACTCCTTTTCTTTGGCTTGCTAATGGATTCCGAGTGGAAAAGAGTTCCAAATACCAGGGAAGCAAATGTGATAGAAAATAACCTGGAGAAAAGTGCTTTTGTGGACCCCTTAACTGTAGTTTTCAATCTGCCAGGGGAAGATGATCATCTCCATGCCCCAAGAAGCCACGGAAGTGAAAGGCAACATTTCCAATACCATTTGTAGCCATAATTCCTGCATCAAACTCAATTCATCAAAGCAATAACAAGCCCCTATTTTTAGCCCCTCACTGTTCATAACCAGCAGTGAGATGTGGGAGCATTTGTGAACTGCCAGTGGGGCTTGAGAAATCACTTCACAGCCCTGGGTGCTCTAAGAGGGTGGTGCCACTTGGGGAAAAGGAATTTATTTCTGCTTCCCTGAGCTGTTTTCCCCTCTGGCAGCACCTGGGTCATGGATCCCAGCAGGGTTTGGAAGGGAGGTGGCAGCACTGGAGTGGGGAAAAGCTTCTGACCCCAGAAAGAGCCCTCAGCTCTGGTCCCAGCAGCCAGAAGCCCTGGGGGGATGCAGCTGGCTCTGCACCTTGCCCAGAGGACAAACAAGCTGCTGACATTCCTGGGGTTTGGGCTTTGTCGTGGTATTCCCCCTTGGCTTGCTTGTAACACATTTTTTCTGCCAATGAACTTTATTTTTCCAATGGCCTTTCAGCACAGTTGTTTGGTTGTTTTGTTTTTTCTGGGGGGAAGTGAAAGCTGGAGGAAGCTGAAACAACAAAGCAACTGAAAGAACCCTGAGATCCTGGACTCTGAGGCTCAGAAGGTCCTAACTGGGATGATGGGAGAGAAAAGAAGCAGCAACAGGAAAGAAGGGAATTTTGCTGCTTCTCTGCCTGCCCAGCCCAGCCCTCAGCTCAGAGCCCTGGGCCCAGCACCTCTCACTCCCCAGCCAGCCCTGCTGCCTTGGCACCTCTTTCCCAGCTCATTTTTGGGGGTCACTTCACAGCAAAAAGACCAAATATTAGGGAAATACCATTTCCTTCTCCATCCAGACAGAGGCCAAACTCCATAATCCCAATTTGGCTCCCCAGGTGATGGTCCCAGGGCTGCCAGAGCTCCAGGAGCGTTTGGACAATCTGGGATGGCCAGGATGGGATTGTTGGGGTGTCTGTGCAGGGCCAGGAGCCGGATCAATGATGCTGGTGGGTCTCTCCCAGCTCAGTCAGGAGATTCTGGGATGCTGTTCAGCCTGCCCAGGGGTACCAGAGGGGCTTTTTGGATGTCAAATCTGAGAACTCAGAGCCTGTTTTGTTCCAGGACTGCACAGGATGCCACAGCCCCCAGCAGCAGGAGGAGAACTCATCCTCCTCTTAAATCCAGCTGCCAAAGAAGGGCCTGAGCTCCCCTTTGGGATCTGGGCACAGAGAAATTCCAAGTACAATGAGCCAGAGAGAAACCTCTGCTCCGAGGGGATCTCCAGAAGTCCCAAACACCCTCCCTTAAAATGCTCAAACTGACTCACAGCCCTTCATGCCACAACAATTCCAAACCCTCTCCTCATTGTCCCACAGCCCCACAGAGGAACAGATTCAGAATTCCCAGGCTTGGAGTCCAAAGCTCCCCAGGAGGCAGCACTGCCTGAAGGAGAAGAAATGCCCCAAACCCAGCAGATCCCACTGCCAGCCTTGACAAACAAAAAACATCCAGGTTTTCCCAGAAGTTCAAAGTTTGCAGTGATGTGAAGCCACTTTACGGAAAGAACAGGAATTCCAGCTGAGGAACCTGCAGGAATTTGCTGGTATCCAAATAGTCCTCAACCTGTTATTTCTAATAAAATTTTTCCCCAACAGTGGGGGAATATTCCCCAACCTGTTATTCCTGATAAATTCTTTTCCCAACAGTGAGGGAATATCCCTCAATCTGTTATTCCTGATAAAATCTTTTCCCAACAGTGAGGCAATATCCCTCAACCTGTTTTTCCTGATAAGTTCTTTTCCCAACAGTGGGGAAATATCCCTCAACCTGTTATTCCTGATAAGTTCTTTTCCCAACAGTGAGGGAATATCCCTTGACCTGTTATTCCTGATAAAATCTCTTCCCAACAGCCCCTGTGCTCCCACTTTTTGGGATCTAAATCAGCAGGGTCTGCCCAAAGCATTTTCTTTTCCCTATCCTGATAATTTATCCCTCCAGGAAAACTAACAGAACAACAGCATCTGACCCACAGAAATGGGCTTTTATTTCATGTCCCAATGTGTTTTCAGATATGAAAACCCCACTCACGTTATTGCTTTGAGGCACCTGGAGCCCATGATTGATGTTGAAGGAACTTACGGGTTTGTGGGGCTGAGGATGAACATGGAGCTGTAAGGCAGGATTGGTTTAGGCCCATTTTTGGTCAGGTCATCGACGTCTTTCTTCTCCTCTGTTTTGCTTTCAAACTCCACGTTGTTCACTGGAAATGGGAATTCAGGGAGAACACAAAGGAGAGGGTTAAAAATGGATCTGCAGCCTTCCTGCTGCCTGGAACAGCTGGAAATGGCAGCAGTGCAGCTGGGAGAGCAAACAGCCTTGGGAAGTGCTGATTAAATGGGATGAACAATCATCGGATCGTTATCACCCCCTGCCCCTCCACTGCTGCTGAGCCACCCAGCAGAACAGCCAGGAAATGGAACCATGAGCTGATTTATCCCAGAGCTGCCAAACTGGGGCTGGAAAACCCATCCCAAGGAGCACAAATTCTCAGGGAGAGGGATCAGCTCGGGATCCTTGAATGAAAATCAAAAGGAAGTCTGACCAGCCTCGTAATTCGGTGTTTTCTCCCATGGAGCAGGAGCACAAGTGGCTTTGGAACACATAAAAGAGCAGATTCGTGGATGAGGTTTAATAATCTGGAGGCTGAGACTGCTGAACTTCCCAGAAATAGGAAAAGAAACGTGGAAAGGACTTCTTGGACCCCCCAGAGCTGTGCCTGCATCGTGCACCTTGGTTTGGGCAAAGTTCCCCACGTGCAAAGGTGAGCAGCTCCATCCTGCAGCAGGTTTTGGGATCTCCTTCTCTGAAATTTTTCCCAACCTCCCTCCCAAAGGTTGGAAATTCTCCAGTTCTCACCCTGACTTCACTTGAAGGGGGTTCATGGGATAGTTGACTGAAGATAATTTCCCATCTATGAGCTGGGTAACATTTCATGCTGCTAATTCTCTTCTTAGACACATATAAAGGCTCTTCCATTAATTCCCAGGACCTAAAGTCCAACAATCCCACCCTTTGGAATGCATTCAGTGCAGGGCTGTTATTACTTTTTATTTTATTTTGCAAGAAAATGACATTTCTTTGTGTTTGAGTGACATGTTCAATAAACTCCTTATTGGATCTCCAGTCAGATCCAGAGGAAATGGCCAAGAAAGGGAGAGGCTGATAAATTGAGATTGACAGGAATGCAGCATTGCAATATAGGAAAATTACCACTGAAGAGGGGGAAAAAAGGAGAAAGAAGAAGGAAAAATAATAAAAAAATAACAGATAAATATTGCAGCTGACAACAGAGTGAAAAACCACAGAGACCCTGCCAGATCTTGGCTGTGCCTCTTGGAAAGCAGAGTCCTGACAGCCTGAAGTTTAATGTGGACCTCTTGGATTTCCCTCTGGGATTCTCCTGAGCTCTCCAGACTTCTCCAGGCTGCTCCCACCCTGCCAGGGATCAGCACCAAGGTGGTGGGAACAGCCTGGTGGTGGCTGGGCACAAGGATCTTGGGACCATCTGTAAATCTGTGCTGACAGACCCAAAGCAGAGAGCTCTGGAGAAGGACTGGGAGGGTGGATCTGCTCCAGGTGTGATGCAGAGCATTGTAAAAAGCTCTGGAACGTCACAGGACCCAGCAGCAGGGTCACACATGGGTGCTGCTCTCCCTGCTCCCTCCCCTCTCCCTTACACACAGGGTGTGGCCTGGGTGAGCCATCTCCAGGGGATCTCAGGTGTTCTCCAGAGCCACAGGAACCCTTGCTGAGTTCCTGCACCCTGTGTGGCAATTACAGCTCCTCTATCACCAAGTTCCCTGGCTGCCTGTCTCAAGGATGGCAGCACCCAGGAGAGCCCCCCTCCCTCCTTGGAGATTTGGATTTCCTGGCACTCCCACAGCAGGAAAAGCAGGGGACAAAGGCACTCACTTGGAATGACAGTGGTTTCCCCTGGAGGGGCAGTGATGGTGACAGGGATGTTCACAGTGGTGGTTTTGTCCAGGGGGGGCTGAATCATCCTGGTCACGTTCTTCTGGTTGTCAGCATCCTCTGGCTGCTCAGGCACCTTCTGCAGGTAAGTGCTGGGCAGGGTGTGCACAGGGACACTGCCAGGGCCACTGCCACTGCCACTGGCCTCCAGCTCACACTGGTTCTCCCTAGGAAAAAGCAGGATTTGTTCAATATGGCCTGGGAAAAGTTCAGAGAACACATCCCTGATGCTGCACCTCGTGCTCAGCTTGTTTCCTCCATGGAAATCCTTTGCAGGGCTGTGGGGTTCACTTTCTCTGAACACAGAGAGACATAATTCCCTCTCCCAGGATTTGTCCTGGGGAAGGCAGTGAGAAGCTCAGAGAAGAAGAGAAAACAATTCTTATCTCTATTTGCTGCTCCTGTTGTTTGGCACATGTGGAATGTGTCATGGAGATTGTTTACCCAAAGTGATTTGTTAATTGGGCACTGGTGAAGGTTGTTTGGATTCCTTGGCCAATTGGGTCAAAGCTGTGTCCTGGCTGTCTCTGACAGTCATGGGTTTTTCTTTACTATCTTTGTAGTATCCTTTTAGTACAGTAAAGTATCTCTTTAGTATGCAATATAGTACAGCTTAATAAAGCAATTGTTCAGCCTTCTGAATCATGGAACCACAGCACATTCTTCCCTGGCTGGGGGCTCCCTGCATCGATACAGGACAACCTCTGACAGCAAAATTTGGGATCTTTTTCTCCGAGACCTCCAGAGCCAAAACCCAATCCCAGCATTAGGAGGGGACTGGACATCCCTGGGGTCACTTCAATGATGCTCCCAAGCCAGGACCATGAGCCACTCCCCAGAGCAGCTGCTGGATGAATCCTGACACGCTGCTCCCTAAGGATCTCCCCAGGCCTTATTTAAATGTACTGATTCTCTTTTCCAGTTTTTAGAATGGTTTTGGAACCCTTCTGGAACGTGGCAATCACAGCTAAATGGCTCCTGCTCTCCTCTGCAGCAGCAGCAGCAGCAGCTCTGCTCCAGTGAGGAGGAAAGTGAGCCCATGCACATGAGCACGCTGAACAGCAGGCAGAGTGTTTGGAAATTCAGCTGAAAGGAAGATAATTTAGACAGGAAAATTATTATCTCAGTGCCACTCACGGCTCTCCACGGTGACATGAACTCTATTCTAAAGAATCCCAGTGCAATTTCTTTTCCATCAGACTAATAAAGCTGAAAAGGCAATCTATCCTTCTTTATTAACTACTCCAAATGCTTCACCAGGGCTGCTTTTCTCACTTGACTTACATAAGAATTAAAGCAAATGGGGGCCATCGTTGCTCTTAATGGAAGAGGCCATGTGCTGGAACAACTGGTGGTGCAGCTGAAGGCTCCCCATTAAAAATGAAAATCAAAGGGCTGTAAGCAAGGCTGGCTGAAATTTAAATAGATGTCCCTCAGGAGCTTCCTTCAGAAGGAAGGAAATTTCCCTTCAGAAGCTGGGAAATTCTCTGCTCCACTTGGTGTCCTACAGGGTCTGTTGGTGTTTACAGCAAGGATATTTTGTGCCTTAAACCTGAGCTGTTTTATGAACCAAAATCATCTTTGGGAGCCTCTGTCACTGCTGACTGAGGCAAAACAGACCTGCAGTGTTGGGGAAGATGAAACAGGAAAGCCTTATAAATGTGATTGCCTGGCAAAAGATTTTGAGAATATGGAAACTATAAGCGAGATTGAAATGAAAGCAAGCTTTGAGATAGCTCAGTTACTGAACAACTGGAAAACAATGGTGTGGCCAGCTGAAGGTGATCCCCTTTTGATGGAACAACACCCTCTGCCTGCAGACAGGCCCAAGGGGCAGAGCAGACCCTGCCAGCTTGGCAGAAGGGGCCCAAAGAGGAGTTTGTAGGGTTTAAAATGTAACACAGGATGGTAATGGAATGATTTCTATAGGCTGTATGGAAATGCTGTAGGATTTGTATCTTGTACTGGATTGGTTAGTGAGAATCAGAATATTCAACACAGAAGAAGATTTATGGTATTGTAATGGGAACCTCGCTCTCTTACCCTTTTACTCTCTTACCCTCTCATCCTCTCTCCCCTCTCTTCTCTCAGGCCTGCTCTGAGCTGTGCCTGGCAGCTCCCAGCAGGGCCCTGCCCCCAGGCCCTTTGCAATGAACCCCAAGTTCCAGCCCTGGCTCCAGAGATCTCTCATCTCCATCCATCCCCACTGTCCTACCCCCCAACACTCCTACACTGCAGGTTGTGATGGGAGCTGGTGCGGGCACAGGGACAGCAGGGAATGACATGGGGAGGGCCAGAAGGGATTTTCTGGAACACATCTGGGGTTTTGTGACCCCTGAACTGACCCAGGCAGGGTCTGGCAGCGCTCACTCACTTGGGCTGGTGATTCCGGTGCTCTTTCTCGCCAGCCTCCCCCTCCTTCTCTCCGCTGTCCTTCTCCACGGACTCGTAGGTGGACAGGGCCCTGTTCCTGAGCCGGTGCCGCCGGTGGGGCTCCTCTCCGCTGTCCCCCTTGGCCCCGGGCTCTCCATCCCTGTTCCCAGAGCGGGACCCTCCGCGGTGCCGGGAGCGCCGCTCGCCGCGGGCGCCGTTGGCGGTGCCGTTGCCCTCCTTGCCCGGCCGGTCGGAGGAGTGCCGGTGGCTGCGGTGCCTGCGGTGCTCCTTCTCACCCCCTTCCTCCACCGAGCCCCGCCGGTGGTGCCTCTTGCCCCCTTCCTGCCCCCTGCTACGGTCGCTTTTCCCTTCCTTGCTGCCCCCTTCCACCTCCTTGCTGCGGCTCCGGTGCTGCCGGTGCCGCTCCTCCTTGGTGCCGGCCCCGGCTTCGCCGCTCTCCTCCTTGGTCACATCTCCCTTCTCCTGCTCTCCCAGCTTCTCCTTCTCCCGATGCCGGTGGTGCTTCCTTGGCGCTTCTGCCCCATCAGCAGAGGTGGGTTTGGGGTGCTCCACCACCTCCTGGACATCCACGGGGCTCAGCTTGCTGAGGTTGTTCCGGCCTTCGCCGCGGGGCTCCACGACCAGCGGCCGGTCCAGGTGGGTTTTCATGTCGGGACGGATGTGCAGGGTGGTGGCGTAGCGGACCCGCTCCTCGGGGTCCAGCTCGTTGTACAGCGCCTCGCAGCTGGCTCGGAAGTTGTGCATCCGGATCTGGCTCGTCCTCTGCTCCCAAACCGACTTGGATTTGGAGGAATTCTGCTGCTTGCTAAGGGCGGGAGAAAGGTGAGAAGTCAGCACCCGACTTTGCGCCAATTGCCTAAAAAAGGAGGGAATTTTCAGCTGAGGTGGGGAATTAGAGGGTCAAAGCAAAGGAGTAACAGGGATGGAGAGAGAACATAAGCAGGGAAAGCCAGCAGGATCATCCGTGTTAGTTTGCCCACACAGTATGAGATCAGCCCTCTGGAAAGGAGTTATTCTGCATTTCGGAAATGTGGAAGCCTCAGAGGGAACAGTCTGAAGGATTAAAATGTCAGCATACAAAAATCACACACCCCAGCCAGAGCTTGGAACAGCCCGCAAAGCTTCCCAAAATTAGCAGCATTTTTCTCCCCACCTGGAAATATCTGGATGAGGAAATTAGTGGTGAGCAAGAGAAGTTAGATCAGCAGGAAGAGCAGGGAAAATCAAACCTGTCCCTGAGGATCCATCAGCCCCTTCCCCTTCCAGCCAGCCCCAGGGCTTGTTTTCCAGCTGTGCTGCCCTGCTGGCTCATGGAACAGCTTTAAAACTGCTCTAAATCCACAGCATCCTTCCAGGTGAGCATGGACCAGCCAGCCCACACATCACTGGAGAATGGGAAAGTACAAGTAGGAAAGGAAAACTGTCCTGTGCACCAGGAAAAGAGCCCAGAGAGTGGGAGAGTCACACACAGATCCATCAAAGATCCTGAGCTGGGAGGGACTGAAGGGATCCCCCAGGCCAGCCCCTGTCCCTGCCCAGCCCCTGTCCCAGCAAGCCCAGCCTGGGCATCCCTGGCAGCGCTGCCCAAAGGCTCCTGGAGCTCTGGCAGCCTCGGGGCCGTGCCCATTCCCTGGGGAGCCTGGGCAGTGCCAGCACCCTCTGGGGGAAGAACCTTGCCCTGAGCTCAGCCTGAGCTGCCCTGGCCCAGCCCCAGCCGTGCCCTGGCTCCTGTCCCTGGCCCAGAGCAGAGATGGGAGCTGCCCCTCGGGAGGAGCTGCAGCCCCGGGGAGCTCTGCCCTCACTCTGCTCCAGCTGAACAACCCCAGAGCCCTCAGCCCCTCCTTGTGTGGCCCTTCTAACCCTTCACCATCTCAGCAGCCCAAGATGAAGATGAGAAGGGAACACCTGGAGACACCTGCTCATCTCTGCCACCTCTTGTGACCAGGGCACCTCCTCTGGCATGGCCTGAATGCTTTGATTTTTCAGCACAGCTTTTGGGTTCTCACCACTTCTCAAAGTGACCACAAACCCAACCAGGGTTTGAAGTCTGTGAAGGGACAAATTTTTTCTTTTCCTCCTAAAAACCTTAAGCCAAACTCTGCATTCCACTGGCTACCAGGTGAGTTCTGGATTTAACCTTATGGAGACTCAGCACCCGTTTTTCCTTAATGAAACTTTTTCTAGCAAAACCAGGAAAGGCATTTTCCTCCTCCCAGCCTGCTGTGACACCTCCATTCCCATACCTCAGGCTGAGCTATGCAGCTGGAGGGAGCAGAGCCCACATGGGAGGCAAACACAACTTCCTTACGCATTTTTGGGCTCCCCTGGTAGTGGGAAAAAGCAGCTTTTGCGTGTTCTGGTGCTGATTGGGACTGTCTGGCTCTGTCACCGTGCACAGACCCCGGGGAGGTGACGTCCAGCCATGCTCATGTGGCACAGTGGGAGCTGTCAGAAGGGTTTTGTGTCTCTGGGCTCTGCTGGGGAATCGTTTCTTTACTGAGGTTGCTGCTGTCTGGTGCTGCTAAAGAGGAAAAAAAATCACTAAAAGCCCTCATGAGAGCGCCCAGGCAGATGTGAAAAACCTCATTTAGTCCCAAAATCAGAGCTGATCACCAAAATTAAATATCTACACCCTGTTGCCAAGTTCTGGATGCATTTTCCAGCAGCTGAGTCCCCAGTTTGCACAACAGCAGGAAAACAAGTGATAAAAATCACAGTTTAAATGTAAATAATACCAGAAGGTCCTGGAGACATGGCTTAGAGCCCTGCTCACCCCAAACCCCACACTCAGGGGGGGACAGGCTCCTACTGAGGCAGAGCCCCCTCCAAGCTGGAACAAGGATGAACAGCCCCAGTGGACACTCACAACTTTCTTTAGTTCAAAATTATGAAAAATTAAAAGATTCTCACTCATCAGCAGCTTTCCTTGGTTTGGGAAGGAATGAGGAATGTGCAGAGCCTCTGACTGCCCAGCCCTGCTGCCCTGTCCAAGGATTTCCCGTGGGAAGGCACAAGAAAAGCCCTGCAGAGCTCTCAGAGATGGAGCTGCCTGGGATGGGCATCCCGGGGTTTCAGCTCTGCTAAACCCAACTGGGCTACAAATCTCTTCAAAGCCAGGCTCAGGGAAAGCTCAGGGATTTTCTGTGCCTGGCTGAGCTCCCTGAATGCTGCCACAAACACCTCTGCTCTTAGGGAATAGTCCTCACTCCATAGTGAAAGTCCTGGGCTGGGGACCAGCCTCTGCCCTGTGCTTTGGGCAGGGCTCAGGTGATAATCAGCCTTAAAGATTCATTAGAAAAGTGACTTTGTGCTGAAACTTCCAGTTTACCTAAAACCCAAGAGCAGAGGGAGGAGCACAAGCACCCCCTGCTCCAGCCTGTGCTCCACTGCCATGGGACAGGAACCAGCAGGGCTGGAACACAAAGCCTCAGGGTCCCTGCAGTAACTCCCAAAGAAAAACAGGGAGAAAATCATCAGGCAGTTCCCATGGCCATGGACACAGCCTGTGCCTGCTGCCTGTGCTGAGCCCATCCCAGTGTTGGAAATGCAAGATGTGGCTGGGGCTGTGTGTTCTGTCCCCATCTGTCAGAGCTGGGGCAGTTCTCTGCTGTCCATGGGCAGTTTTTTCTTGATCTCTCCCCCAGCCAATCCTCCCTGCAGGAGATCTCTGCTGTCCATGGCCACTGAGTGTCCCTGCAGGGCTGATCCAATTCCAGCATCCCATGGGGAGATGCTGCATTGCCCAGGGCAGGAGCCAAGCATTCCTACCTGGATCCAATCTGAGGTTTGGGACACCATACACAGCCTTTCCACTGCATTGCCAGAGGAACAGCTGCCTTTTCCACTGGATTTTCAAAGGAAAACTCCCCCCTTGTGCAGGATCCCTGCTCCAGCAGAGCCACAGCTGGCACTGCAGGAGGGCTGAGCCCCCATGGGATGGGGCTGTGCCACCCCCTGACACACAGGGGACAGGGACTGCTCTGACTCTGGCAGTGGCTTGTTTTCTTTATTTGTACTATTGCATTTGTATTTTAATTTTCCTAGTAAAGAGCTGTTATTCCTACTCCCATATCTTTGCCTGAGAGCCTCTTAATTTCAAAATCATAATAATTCAGAGGGAGGGATTTACATTTTCCATTTCAACAGAGGCTCCTGCCTTCCTTAGCAGACACCTGTCTGTTCAAACCAAGCCACCAGAAGAAGGAAAGAAAATCCCCTCAATCAGGTTGGAGGTGGGGAGGAGGAAGATTGGGATTCAGGGCTGATCCTCAGCCCAGCTCCAACATGAGCTGTGCCACTGCAGGAGGGGTTTTGCATTTGTGTTTCAGTTCCACCAAGGACATAAATCAGCTTTTCAATGATCTCTGAGCTGTTCCCACGGCCCATCACTCAGGGCTAAGTGAGAGGTGCTGCCAGGGAAGTGCACTCCTGAGAACCTGCGGGAAGCTGGCAGTGCACACATCAACCCAGCTCAGATCCCTGGGTAAATCAGGCACTGACATTCCAAGCTGGAATTTCCCAGCACCTGGAAATGAGCTGCATCCTTAACCCTGACACAAGTCCCAGAGGCGAGTGCCAAAGCCTCCAGCACAAAGCCACCCGCTGGCTCTGGGCACCAACAGCTCCAGAGCAGGAGCTGCACAGGCAATGCCTGCACAGCCATTCCTCTTTCCACAAGGAAAACACTCCAAAATTTTTTTTAAAAGGCAAATCAGGATATTTACAAAGAGTGGTAAAAACCCAATCAGGAAAATGTAGCACCTGGGAGCTCAATTCCATCTCCAGAGTGTCCCAGACGTATTTGATGAAAAATCCTTTCCTTAGGATCTTTTCTCCTGAGAAGCTGAGAGGCCTCAGGAACAAAATGTACCCAATGGTTATCTGCTGCTGTGGAATGCAACAGGTGCATCTGGGATTGGGCTCATGTGGTTGTTTCTAATTAATGGCCAATCAAAGTCAGCTGGCTCAGACTTTCAGTCCGAGACAGAGCCTTTGTTATCATTCTTTCCTATTCTATTCTTTCCAGCCTTCTGATGAAATCCTTTCTTCTATTCTTTTAGTATAGTTTTAATATATCATTTTCTTTTAATATAATATATATAATAAAATAATAAACCAGCTTTCTGAAACATGGAGTCAATATTCTCATCTCTTCCCTCATCCTGGGACCCCTGGGAACAGCACCACACCAGAGCAGTGAGGAGCATCTCAAACCCTGTCATCCCAAACCCTGTCATCCCAAAAACACCACCCAGGAGCCAGAGCCAGGGCACAGGAGCTGCTGTGGCAATGGGGGCAGAGCACCTGAGCACATGGGCTCCGTGGGGACAGTGCTGGGAATTGCAGAGCCAGAGCAGCATCAGGAAGTGGCAGCTGCTTGTCCAGCTGGATTTATCCAGCCCTGGCTCTCTCTGGGTCCCCACAGCCACTGAGCTCAGGATTTGTGGCAGCTCCTCCTCTCCTGGTGCTCCCTGGGCATGGGGACAACCTGGGAGCTGATTTATGGCACCCCTTAAAGCAAAAGCAGGGCTTCAGCCCAGCTGCCTGCCCAGGAGGAGATGCAGCAACAGGAGGGGTTTGGAGGAGATGGAAAAACATCAATATGATGAATGGCACTGCTTCAAAAATTAATTCCACTGCTTCCCCCTCATTTAGGGCAGTGAATTCTGCACAAATCAGGGCAGGCACAGCCCAGCTACAGCACGAGCAGGGCAGGGCTTGTCTAAACTGATCAAAAAGAAGATTTGTGATAACAAATATTTACTTCACAAAAAAAATCATCCACAAAAACCCATAACATTCCAC